TACACAGAAACATACCAAGGGAACATGAATCAAATATGTATCTTTATTCATTTACAATAAACTCATAAAGTACATCATTCTGATTGAAGCTAAGGGCACACAAAACTGTCTAACAACTTTAAGGCTCCCACGCTGGAGATGTACGATGGGAGCTCTAACCCCGACGACCACCTGGAGGGTTTCAGAGCACTCATGATACTCTATGGGTATTCCGATGCCTTGACGTGCCGGACCTTCTAGGCTACATTCAAGGGGCAGCTCGCCGATGGATCTCCAGCCTCCCACCTCAGTCAATCGGCTCGTGGGAGCGGTTTACCAGTTTGTTCCTTGCTCGCTTCATTAGTAGTAGACAATGTCAAAAAAGTGTGGTCTCACTGATGTTGATCAAACAAAAGCAGAGAGAAAGTCTGCAGTCCTACATCGACCGCTTCAAAAAGGAAGAGCTCGAGGTCCATGACCTTGACCCCATGGTCTCTATGCACGCTGCCATTAATGGGCTCTGCACCGGCTCGGCCCTCAAGTGCTCGGTTGCCAAGATCCTGCCAAAGACGAAGTTGGAGTTCCTCAAGAAGGCCCAGAAGTATATTGCGGCCGAAGAGGCTTCAACTATGGGCCATCAGGAAAGAGAAGTCGAGCACCACAATGGGCCCCCTAAAAAGAAGAGGAAGGGCGGAGATAACCCCCACCCCAACAACAACAACGGCAATGACAACAAGAAGCCACCGGCCTCGGCCCTAGCTTACAAGGAGCAAACGCCACTTAACTCCACCTGTGCCCAGAAACTGATGCAAATCGGGGAGGAGAAGTATGTAAAGTGGCCTGAGAAGTTGAAAAGGAACCCCAGGAGAGGAAATTCAAAAAAGTACTGCAAGTACCATCGCAGCACCAGGCATGATACGGAGGACTGCTACGATCTCAAGAATGAGATAGTGTCCCTCATCCTTTGTGGGCACCTTAAGTAGTTCATAGGAGGAGAGGTTGGCACCTCGTCCTCCCAACAACAATAGCACCAACAAGTGGCAGGCATCACTGACATCATTACCGGGGGCATGGCCTTGGGTGGAGCCTCGGCCTCGGCTCGCAAGGCCTACACCAGGCAGTTGAACATCCAGGGGCCAATCTCAAAGAAGTAGAAGTACCCGGATGCTCCAAAGGAACCAAGCTGTCCGAAGGCCCTCGTCTTCACGGACGAGGACCTAAAGGCGGTCATAGTCCCCCACGACGACGCCCTCATGGTCGCAACAATCATCGTCAACTACATGGTGAAGAAGATCCTAGTGGATAGCAGCTCCTCGGCCAACATCCTCTTCTACAACTCCTTCGAAAGGATGAAGCTCGCACCCGAGCAGCTCTAGCCAGCTGACATTCCCCTCGTCGGCTTCTCCAGTAGTGTCATCAGATTGGAGGGAATGATCACTCTGCCCATCATGGTAGGGAGTGAACTGGACCAAGTGACTTGGATGCATGAGTTCCTGGTAGTGAAGGTTGGCTCCCCCTACAATGCAATAATGGGGAGGCGTACCCTTCACGCGTTAAGGGCAACCATGTCTTCCTACCACCTAGCCCTCAAATTCCCACCGAGCACGGCATTGGAGTTGTTCATGAGAACCAGCAAATCGCTTGTTAGTCTATGTGGCAACGCTGAAGGGCAAGAACAAGGAGGCCCTATCACTGGAGGGCCTCGACCTCAAGGAGGAGCCAGCGAGCCGAGGCTAACCAGCTGAGGACCTCGCCTCGGTTCCCTTGGATGAGGCAGACCCTATAAAAACAGTCCGCCTCGGTTCCAATCTTCCCCCTGAACGCCTATCCGAACTGGTAAGTTTAATCAGAACTAACATCGACGTCTTTGCTTGGTCCACCACTGATATGCCTAGAATTGACCCCTCAGTCGTTATTCACAGGTCAAGCGTGGATCCGAGCTCTAGGATAGTTTGGCAAAAGAAGAGGAACTTTGCATCGGAGCGATGGAAGGCTATAGGAGAGGAAGTTGACAAGCTACTCGACGCCGACTTCATCTGAGAGGTACACTACCCTAACTGGTTGTCAAATGTGGTTTTGGTGAAGAAAGCTAACGGGAAATGGCGGATCTGTATTGACTTTACGTACCTGAATTGAGCCTGCCCGAAGGACAGTTTTCCATTACCGAGGATAAACCACCTCGTTGACACCACTGCAGGGTACGAGCTACTCAGCTTAGTGGATGCCTTCTCCGGATTCAACCGAATAAAGATGCACCCCGAGGATGAGGAGAAGATCTCATTCATCATCGAGCATGACACATATTGCTATAAAGTGATGCCATTCGGACTCAAGAATGCAGGGGCCACCTACCAACGTCTTGTCAACAAAGTGTTCAAGAACCAGATGGGGAGGAACATTGAAGCATATGTAGATGACGTTGTAGTGAAGAGCCTGAAAGCCAAAGCACACACCTTGGACCTAGCTGAGACCTTTGACATTTTGCGTAGGTTCAACATGAAGCTTAGCCCAAGAAAGTGTGCCTTCGATGTCACCTCGGGAAAATTCTTGGGCTTTGTCATCACCCAAAGATGCATTGAAGCCAACCCGGAAATGATACAAGCCATACTAGACATGGCACCCCCTCGGTCGGTGAAGGAGACTTAAAGGCTCACCGACAGAGTAACTACTCTCAACCACTTCATGTCAAAGTTGGCTGACTGTTGCCTTCCCTTCTTCTACGCCATCAAGAAGATGAAAGATTTCCAGTGGACAGAGGAATGCCAGCATGCCTTCGATGAGCTAAAGTTATACCTCTCCTTACCTCCCCTCCTCGCCCGTCCGGCATTAGGAGAAATGTTGTATACTTGTCAGCGGAGGATGAAGCCATCAGCTCGGTCCTAGTAAAAGAGGATGGAGTCCTAAGACCTATATACTATGTCAGCAAGGTCCTCTGTGATGCCGAGACCGGGTACCTAAGGTGGAGAAATTAGCATTCACCCCCGTTATCTCGGCCAGAAAGCTTAGGTCATATTTTCAAGCTCACACCATTATGCTTCTGACAAACCAGCCCATTAAGGCCATCCTCGCCAAACCAGAGACCTCGGGACGCCTGCTCAACTGGGTCGTTGAATTGTCTAAGTTCCACATCCAATACTAGCCAAGGCCCACAATTAAAGTGCAAGCCTTAGCTGATTTTGTAACAGAGTGCACCTTCAGTAGACCCCTCGGTCGGTACCTCGAAGCCCATCCAGCATGGAGACTCTTTGTTGATGGTTCGTCCAACACCAAAGGAAGTGGAGCGGACCTCATCCTCCTCACCCCCGATGTCATCATCATAGAATACGCACTGAGATTTGACTTCCTAACATCCAATGACGAAGCCAAGTATGAGGCCCTCCTCATGGGGTTACAGCTCGCCAGGGACCTTGTCTCCAAGCATATCGAAGTCTTCAACGATTTGTAGTTGGTGGTGAATTAATTCAACGGTGAGTATGAGGCTAGAGAACAAAGCATAGCCAAGTACCTCGCCAAAGTTCAAGAGCTAGCTCACCACTTCCAGTGCTTATCCCTACAACAAGTACCACGAGCCAAGAACGCAAGAGCTGACGCCCTCTATAAGTTGGCAAGTACCTCAGACTTAGCCCTTGGCCGCACTGTCCGCGTGGAGAAGCTACCTCGGCCCACTATAGAAGAAGCCAAAGTACTCCCACTAGAGGCTGAACTATCTTTGATGGACCCCATCATCGACTTCCTACTCACAGGATGACTGCCCGATGATAGGAATGATGCAAGACCACTCCAACATCAGACAGCACACTACACTTTGCTGGAGGGAAAGTTGTATAGGAGATCCTTCACCTTGCCTTACCTCCGATGCCTCCATCAGAAGGAGGGTGAATACGTGCTTTGAGAAATTCACAAAGGCATCTGCGCTAACCACCTCGGTGACCAAGCCCAAGCCCAAAAAAGACTAAGGTAGGGGTAGTTTTGGGCAACTCTTCACAAGGACACAACTGAGCTGGTACGAAGGTGCGATCAATGTCAGAGACATGCTAACCTTTACCATGAACTAGCAACAACCCTTTCGGCTCTCAGTAGTCTCTGGCCCTTCGTCAAGTGGGGAATGGACCTCCTCGGCCCTTTCCCTCAAGCAACAGGGGCAGGAAATACCTCATCGCCGTAGTGCACACCTTCACTAAGTGGGTAGAGGCCGAACCATTAGCCACCATTATAGATCGAGCAATCCAGAGCTTCTTTTGGAAAAACATCATTTTCCACTTCAGCCTCCCCCACATGCTTGTCACTGACAACGGGAAGCAATTCGACGATGCCAAGTTTAGAGAATGGTGCGCCTTCCTCGGCATCAAACAGTAGTACACCTTGGTGGTCTACCCTCAAACGAACGGACTAGCCGAGGTCACAAACAGAACCATCCTAGATGGACGGAAGACCAGGTTGGACCAAGCCAAAGGCTTGTGGGCTGACGAACTATACAGTGTTCTCTAGGCATACCGAACCACACCTCGAACGACCACGGGAGAGACCCCTTTTGGCCTAACTTACGATACGAAGCAATACTTCACTAAGTGGGTAGAGGCCAAACCATTAGCCACCATTACAGCTCGAGCAATCCAGAGCTTCTTTTGGAAAAACATCATTTGCCACTTTGGCCTCCCCCACATGCTTGTCACCGACAACAGGAAGCAATTTGACGATGCTAAGTTCGGAGAATAGTGCACCTCCCTCGGCATCAGACAGTAGTACACCTCGGTGGGCTACCCTCAAACGAACGGATGATATGTGCGCATGCTACACATCATTTTTATTGCTTTATAAATGGTTTTGATGATGATTTGCAATGGTTTTTACCCTAATTGAGCATAATTATAGGAAACTAAGAGTTTGGAACAATCTAGGGTGAAGAGAGCATGAAGACATGCTGAGATGGTGAAAAGGGAAGCACTTTGGCCCACCAAGGAAAGAGGCCCAACTGCAGCCCAACCGAAACCCTATGGGAGAACAGCAATTCGACCCACAAAGGAGAGCAGCCCAACAACAGTTTGGCCCACCAAGAACAGCAGCCCAACCGCAACCCTAAGGGAGGCTCCAAAAAGGTGGCAAACATTAGAGAATGGGGAGAGGCTAAAAGGAAGAGTATAAAAAGAAAAGAAAAAGAGGAGATTAGGGTTCGGACCCCTGAAGACAAAGATCAAGAAGAAGAAGTGCAAGAGAAGGGAAAAGGCTGTTGAATGCGAATTGAAGAGGAGATCGAAGATTGATGCAGAAATCTTAGGTTGTCTTCTTCTTTGATTCTGCAAATTCGGTAACCTAGATTCGATTAGGGTTTCATGGTTTTTCTTTATTGAATCTTTCTTCCCTTCTTTCTATTATGCGAACCATGATGGATTTCAATTCTGACAGGTAATTAATATTTTAAGCAGATCCCATTGATTGTGATTCAATCTTGGGAATTCTTGATTAGGGTTTTCGATTATAAGAATAATCTTGGCCGAATTGTTCTTGTTTCTTGGATTACTTGAATTGCTTGAGAAAGGGTTGTGCTCGAGATATAGGATTTGTTCTTAATGCATCTATGGCGATTAAAATTCTGATAGAGATAAAGGAATTGTTGCTCATAGATAGAGTGGGTTGTGCTTGAGAGAGGCTGCTCATACAATTAGGGTTTAGCCAACCCAAGACTGAATTCACTTCGGTTGGACAGCTTAATGATTTAATTGCTAAACCGGTTCTGCTAGTTCTTGCATGCAGTAATTCTTCTCATCATTAAAGGTGGTCTGATCCGAAAATGTTTAGGGTAGTTTGCTAATTAGGAGTTAGGGTTTTCTTTGTTTAATCTTTCGGTTTATCAGATAACAAAAGGTTGATTCAGTACTAGTAGTTGTTGGATCAATCCCCGTGGGAACGATACTCTACTCATCATTATATTACTTGATCAGCTAGTGCACTTGCTAGTGTCTTCTAAGCACATCAAGTTTTTGGT